AGAGAGAGTCAGGGAAGCAGAATGGGGCAGAGGAAGGGGCTCAGCCTGGTAGTGGGTTCAGCTGGGCCCAGCCCCAGCCCAGTCCTTTGATCTTTCGGGAGCTCTGGAGCATGAACTACATCATACAGTTGTCTCAACTTGAGGTGTAGGGGCCGGCCTTTCTCACCCTCATATCAGACAGACATTAGCTGTGGGCTGTACCTAGGGGGAGGGAGCAGCCCCCTGGCATCTCCAGAGAAGGGAACAGAAGACATTTTCCAAAGAGGCAGGTGAGCCACTGGCAGCCAATACCTGAAGCAGGTGGAAGACGGATGCACGAGCCCAGAAAAGGGGATCTGCGTGGGGCACCAGCAGCGCCTCGCACGCGGCCATCAGCCATATAGAGCTGGGGATGGGGCTTAGCCCCATCATTCATTTTATTTTTACTTAGCAAACATTTGTCTAGCACCAGGTGATAGGTAAGTGTTTGCTACATAAAATAAGATGAATTTTTATTCATCTAAGATCTGTACACATTTAAATCTTCACAGCAACCTATAAAAGGGACATTGTTATACCAGCCCTCTAGACTGTAGTCTCAGAGAGCCCCCCTCACCGCCTGGGGGCTCTCTGAGATCCTGGCCCCGGCCAGTCACCCCCATCCATCTTGCGGCCCAGTGCCCCAGCTCTCCCCCCTTAGCCTGGCGAATCTTCCTTCCCGCTCTTAGTTGAGTCTTAATCTGCAGCCTTGGGGCAGCGCTGCTGAGAAGACTGGTGGAAACCATCCCCTCAGAGCAGCCAGTGCTAAGGGCAGCTGAGGGGCCTCCCACCCCCATTTCGTGCCATCCTGGGCCCTCAAGTCCCCTCCAAGCCTGGTCCCACTTTTCCTCTATTGCCCTAGAGGATTTGGGGGAGCATATGGCAAAAGAAAGCTCTCCCCAAACCCAGAGCTTTTTGGGGGCCCTGGGAGACAGTACAGGGCTTGCATCAGGGTGTCCATTGAGGCCCTCTTCTTGCCCAAGCCCAGAGGGTCTCACAGGGGCAATTCTGCCCACCACAGGCACTTTGCCATGTCTGGAGAGGTATCTGGTTGTCATGATTGGGAGAGAGGGTACCACTGGCATCTGGTGGGTGGATTCTGGGGATGCTGCTCCACACTCCACAGGCCCCCGGCCCCAGAGGCTGACCTGGTCCCCAGTGTCAATAGTGCCGAGGTGGGAACCCTGCCCTGGGCTCTGCCTTCCACTCTGTCCTTCCAGCTGGCGGCGCAGGGTGGGGGTGGGGTAGGAGACGTGCCCGGATGGGGGACATTCTATAGCTCCCCCGGGTGACTCTGATGTGCAGCCGGGCTGAGAGCTGCCAGGCAGAGGGGCAGTTTTCAGTCCCCTGGCCCCTTTCTCTGGAAGGAGGGGGCAGGCTGTCAGCAGGACAGTGGACGAATCTGCCAGCAGCACCGCCCAGCCAGGCCCTCCACGGCCTCCTTCCCACCTCCTGGGTCCCAGGGCCCCTGGGCCTCCCCGCACAACTGTGGGATCCAAGACCTCCTGGGCGCAGAAGACTGAGGTGGTGGCCCTGCCTTCCTGCCCTTCTCACGCCTCCTTGGAGTTGGGGGGGAGGGTAGAGAAAGACATGATGAGGTAACAGGCCTCAGAACCTCAAAGGCAAAGGCAAAGTCCATAAAAATAAAAGATTGGAGGGAAGAGGAAAGAAGGAACCCCGAGAAGAAAGAGGTGAATTAGGAAAGGAGGAGACAGGAATGGAGTGATGTGGACCATTGAGGGGGGTGAGGCCAGGGTCCAGGTGTGCCCTGGGCAAACAGGTCACCCGTCCTCCAACACGTATTCACACACAGTCATATGCTCACTACCCCCTTTCACCCCCTCAAATTCCCACACAATCACATACAGTTACAGAAATTCTCATACAGTTACACATTCTCGCACTCACACACATTCACACCCTCAAATTATCAGTCACATTCTTAAATTCTTACACAATCATATAGTCTGACATCCTCACACACTCATGCACATTCACACACTCTCACCTTCACACAATCACAGTCTCGCCCTCACACACTCAAGCACACACCCCAAATTCTCACACACCTCACACTTCCACACACTCTCACATCCTCAAATTCTCACACCACCACACGGTCTCACCCCTTCACGTTTATTGCTACTCCACATGCACACACACACACACACACACACACACACACACACAAACACACACAGGTTAGTGTCTGTCTGTCTGGGACGTGAGCCCCACGAGGGCAAGGATTTTTAAAAAAATATGGAACAGACTTCCGGTCAAGATGGCGGGTAGGTAAACGCGGTATCGCGTCCTCCCACAACCACATCAAAGTTACAACTAAACTACAGAACAACCATCATTCAGAACCTCCTGAAATCAAGATGAATGGAAGTCCTACAACTACGGAATTAAAGCAGCAGCCACATCCAGACTGGTAGGAGGGGCGGCGATGGGCTGGTCCCACACCCAAGTGTGGCGGATAAAAATCAGGAGGACACCTCGGCTGGGAAGGTCCTTCCTGAGGACTGAGGGGTTCCCGTCCCACACCAGGTGCCCCGCTCAGAGTTCCAGTGCCAGGAAGAGAATCCCCATAACTTCTGGCTGGAAAAACCAGCGGGAACTGAGGCTCAGGGAAGCTGACGTGGCTGGAGCCCCAGGCAGCTCCTTAAAGGGCCCGCGCGTGAATTTATCGGACTCTCTCCCTCTAAGCTTGGAGGGGAGGCAGCTCGAGGGGCACCAGAGACATACAGGGAAGAACTGAGCTGTTTGGCACTGGAGCGAGGGCTGGAGAGAGGGCTTTCTCCGGGACAAACGTGCTGTAAGAGGCCATTGTTCCTTTGGTGAGCCCTTCCCTGGGGCGGCAGACAGTCACCATATCTGGGACTCCAGCAACCTGGCTCACACTGTTGCCCCGCCCAGGTGATTCCCTGAGGCCCCGCCCCGCCCCACACAACTTTCAGGCCCACCCAAGCTGTTGCCACTTGCTTAACCATAGGATTGGCCTGTCTTGGATCCTGCTTCAGGTTTTTCCTAAATTCTTTCAAACGAGCAGCATCTGGTCTCAGCGAGCCCCATACCTCTCATTAAGTAATACACTGAAACAAACACAGAGAGGCAGCCAAAATGAGGAGACAAAGAAACAGGTCCCAAATGAAAGAACAGAACAAAACCCCAATAAAAGAACTAAGTGAAATGGAGATAAGCAACCTAACAGATGCTGAGTTCAAAATACTGCTTATAAGGATGCTCAATGAACTTAGTGAGAACCTCAGTGAACTTAGTGAGGGCCTCAAGAGCATAAAAAAGGACCAGTTAGAAATCATGGATGTACAGTTAGAATTGAAGGAGGCATTAACTGAAATAAAGAATAATTTACACAGCTTCAATAACAGAGTATGTAAATCCAAGGAGCAAACCATCGATTTGGAATATAAGGAAGCAAAAAATGCCCAATCAGAACAGCAAAAAGAAAAAAGAATCCAAAAAAATGAGGATAGTGTAAGGAGCCTCTGGGACAACTTCAAGTGTGCCAACATTCGCATCTTGGGGGTGCCAGAAGGAGAAGAGAGAGAACAAGAAATCGAAAACCTGTTTGAAACAATAATGGCAGAAAACTTTCCTAACTTGGTGAAGGAAACAGACATACAAGTCCAGGAAGCACAGAGAGTCCCAAACAAGATGAACCCCAAGAGGCCCACACCAAGACACATCATCATCAAAATGCAAAAGGTTCAAGACAAAGAGAGAATCTTAAAAGCAGCAAGAGAAAGGCAGCTAGTTACCTACAAGGGAGTTCCCATTAGGCTGTCAGCTGATTTCTCAAAAGAAACTTTGCAGGCCAGAAGGGAGTGGCAAGAAATATTCAGAGTGATAAAAAGCAAGAACCTACAACCAAGATTACTCTATCTTGCAAAGCTGTCATTTAGAATTGATGGCCATATAAAAACTTTTCCAGACAAGAAAAAGTTAAAGGAGTTCATCACCACCAAACCGTTATTATATGAAATGATGAAGGGTCTTTTTGAAGAAAAAGATAAAATATATGAACAAACAAAATGGCAATGAATACATATCTATCAACAATGGAATCTGCAAACAAAATGAACTGGTAGAACAGAAACATTCTCATAGATACAGAGAACATTTTGTTGGTTGCCAGTTGGGAGGGGGGTTGGGGGAATGGGTGAAAAAGGTAAAGAGATTAAGAAGTATAAATTCATTGCTAGACTGACAAACCTCAAAGGGAAAAGGGTTGGGTGGGTGGGAAGAAATAAACCAAAGAACTTATATGCATAATCAATGGACACAGACAGTAGTGTGGGAAAAGGTGGGAGGGGAGCGGGAGTGGGAAGGAGGGGGTCAATGGGGGGAAAATGTGGAACATCTGTAATACATTTTACATCCAACAATAAAGATTTAAAAATATATATATATGGAACGACCCCGGCTGGTTCGGCTCAGCGGTTAGAGCTTCGGCCCACGGACCAGAGAGATATGGGTTCGGTTCCCACTAAGGGCACCTACACGGTTGCAGTTTGTCCCTGGCCCCGGTGAGGTCATGTGGGTGGCAACCACTCGATATGTCTCTCTCACATCAATGTTTCTTTCTCTCTCTCGTCTTCCCTCTCTTCCTCCCGCTCTATCTGAAGATAAATGCAAAAATGTCCCCGGGTAGCCCTGGCCAGTTTGGCTCAGCGGTTAGAGCGTCGGCCTGGGGTCTGGAGAGACCCGGGTTCGGGTCCCGCTAAGGGCACGTACTTCGGTTGCAGTTTGTCCCCGGCCCTGGTTGGTCGTGAGGGTGGCAGCCACTCGATGTGTCCCTTCACGTCGATGTTTCTCACTCTCTCTCCCTTCCTCTCTCCCTCCCATTCTATCTGTACAAAAAATGGAAAAATATCCTCTGGTGAGGATAAAAATAAATAAATAAATAAATAAATAAAATAGTTATTAAAAAAAAAATGTCCTCGGGTAAGATTAAAAAGAAAAATATAGAACGCTTCACGAAGTTGTGTGCCATCCTTGCACAGGGGCCACGCTAATCTCTGTATCGGTCCAATTCTAGTATCTGTGCTGCCGAAGTGAGCACCAGGCAGGGATTTTTATCTTTCACCCCAGTGATGTCCAGAACAGCGTCGGACATGCGGGAGACGCTAGATCAAATGTGCAAAAACTCACACATCTCAAATTCTCACACAATCACACATTCATACAAATTAACACAAATTCTCAGTTACACATTCTCACACACACACATACACACAAGCTCTGCAAACTCCTGTGGTCCCCTCTCTACCCGCCAAAGCCACCCAAAGACTGTAAATGTCACCGGCTGCACTGCTCTGGCCCAGGCAGGCCAGGGAGGCTGGCAGGAGGGGAGCAGTGGGCCAGGCGTGGCCCCTCTGCTCCCCACAAGCCTGAAGACACCTCAAATCCCTCTGCTTTAGGACTGGGAAAATTTAGAGGAAAGGCCACCCTTCTGAAACCAGAACCCCCCAAGCCCGGCACCCCACGGCCTCCGGGGCAAGGCAGAGCTGGGAGAGGCTAGAGGAAGAACCAGCTCCAGGCCTGGAGTGATGAAGGTGACTGAGGTCCTTTGTCATTGTTCATTTACGGACTCATTTTGCACATTTGATGGAGCACCTCCCATATGTCTGACCCTGTTCTGGACACCAGGGTGGATGTGGAAAAATATCCTTGCCCACGTGGTGCTAATGTCCTGGAGAGACATACATTAAACAAATGTGAGCTCAGGGTGACATCATGATAAGGGATATAAAGAAAAATACAGCTGGAATGGAGCAGGATGGAGAGAAGGCCTGATCTGCAGGCTGAGATTCAAGTGAGTGGATGCAGGGAAGAACTGCAGGCAGGTGGAACAGCACAGGCAAAGGCTGAGAGGCAGGTGTTCATCTGACCACAGGGGAAGAGGGAGAATCCTGGACAAGAAGCCTAGGGGAGGCAGGGGCCATGTCTGGGGAACCTGGGACCACAGCCAGGAGTCAGCATTTAATTCCAAGTGAGCCAGATCCACAGAGGGTTTCAGAGGCAAGGGCTTCCTGAGGCTGCAGTAACAATGACCACAAACTGGGGGGCTTAAAATAACCAAAAAATCCTCTCATCGTTCTGGGGGTTGGAAGTCTGCGATCAAGGTATCTTGCTCCTTCTGCGGATTCTTCTGGGCTTCCTCCAGCTTCTGGTGGCCGAAGACATCCCTTAGCTTGTGGCCACATTACTCCAATCTCTGCCTCTGTCTTCACATGGCCTCCTCCTCTCTGTGTCTCTCTGTGTCCAAATCACTTTTCTCTTACAAAGGCACCGGTCATTGAATTAAGGGCCCATTGCTCAGAGCATCTCATCTTGAGATCCTTACCTGATTTCATCTGCAAAGACCTTATTACTGAGGTTCTCAGTGGACAGGAATTTTGGGGTGCAAGGGGACATTCTTCAACCCACTCCACTAGGATTTAAATAGTGGGGTCCATTTGCCCCTCAGGCTGGGTGCACCCCTGGGGGGTCTCCTCTGATGGTTTTCTTGCCCTTTCCACCCAATCTGGCCTCCCCACCATGGTGCCCCTGAGATCCCACCCTTGGTCGCATCCAGTCTGGTGGGATCCAGCGCTCAGTTTCTTTTCACTTCATGCCAGGATGCCTTCTGAGTGGGCTGCACTCCATCCCACAGCCCCCCACTGGGGAAGACTACTGGCATTTCCATTCCATTCTTCACCCCAGAGACTTTGCTGGAAAATAGCTAATTATATCCCTCCCAGAAGCCAGTCTGGTGGGGTTGGGTGGCAATGGGTGAGCATGCCCTGTGTCCACGGCCAGCGGCCCGTGCACCAACACACACAGATTTCTATATATTTTTAATTCTACAGCAATACTTTGATTAGAGAGCCGATGTGTTGTGTATGACCTCAGGGACCTCATTATTTTTCTAACTCAAATAAATACGGCGTTGGGAAAGCAGGGAGGGGTGGAGAGGGGTGGAGAAATGGAAGGACGCAGAAAACCTCATCTATAAAAAGAATTCAGGCCTTAATGAGCTTTTAAAATTTGCCAGCCTCCATCCCCCCATGATCTATAGACAGAGGAAATGGCTTCTGACTTCAGCTTTGGGATTTGGATTGGGGTGGGGGGGGAGGCAGGGAGGACACAGCAGGGGATAGTGCTCAGCTGGGCGTCTAAATTTTGGGGGATTCCAGGTGCTAGGAGGATGACAGTTGTCCCAGCTCAAGCTCAGTGGGAATTGCTATCATTTGGGGGCCCAGTCTGAGTGGAGTGCTGGTCTGAGATAGACCTAGAATTTCCTGATCTCCTAGGTTCATACTAGCATAAGGAACACAGGAGAAGTGGCTTTTCCTTTTGTGTCTGGAAGTTCTTCTCCAGAACCTCCTCCAGGAGAAGTTGGGTGAGCAGATGGGGAAAGTGAGGCAAGGCAGAGCGAGGAAGGCTGGATCACAGGATAGGCACTTGGTACCCTCCCAGCCCACGCTCATGCAGGGGCACACAAGCCTTGGTGTGCCCAGTGGCTGGGGTGGGGGCTGCCACCAGCCTGAGTAGTCACCTTAGTGGCTGTGAGGTTGGGTGTGGACAGAGTAAGTTGTTGACCTTGAGCTACCAAGAGGACAGGGTGACCTCCCAGTCACTTTCCATGTGGGTCTATTTGAACAAGAACAAAGACTTTCCAGCGCAGGCAACGAGGCCAATTTTGGATGACAGGTGAATTCAATGGGCAGAAATGAGTTGGAGCTGAGAAATTTCTGCATGATGAAAATTCCAGGGAGCAGGACAGGCTCAGTGCAGCTGAGCAAGGGCCTTAAGGACTCAGAAGGGTGGAGGAAAGGGAAGGAATGACAAAAGATTCAGGGCTTGAAAAGACATGATGGTAAAGTGGCTGATGGGGAAGGGGTGGGAGGTAGGAACATACTCAGGCCTGCACAAAGGGCAGAGGGACTTTCTCTACCCCTCAATCTAAAATCGCAGCCCCTGGCCCTGGCTGGTATGGCTCACTTGTTTGAGCATCATCCTATGCACTAAAAGGTTGCTGGTTCAATTCCCGGTCAGGACACATGCCCAGGTTGCCACTTCAGTTCCAAGTCCAGATGAGTATGGGAGGCAACCGATCGATGCTTATGTCTTTCTCTCACCGTCTCCCTTCCTCTTTTTCTGAAAACAACAACAACAAAAAAAATATATATATATAACATATTTAGAAAAAATAATAAAATAAAATAACAGCCCCTGTCCCTAACTTTCTCCCTACCCTGCTGTCACCCTCTGTTGTGATGTTTCTCTCTCATCTGCCTCCTCCCACACACTGGCCCCCTGCCTTGCCCCTCCTAAGTGCAAGAGGTTTGGTCTTTCCTGAAAGGTGGGTGGAAAGATGTCAGCTGAAAGAGGTCATCCTTAGGGTGTAACAATGGCATAAAGCAGCTTATATTTGTAATGTTTGACAATTTCCATGGTGTAAATTCTCCTACCTTGATCAATTTCAAACTGTGAAAGCGATGTCACTGAGGGAATGAGGGGATGCCATACACTGACTGTGTTCCCCCCAAATTCCTGTGTTGAAATCCTATGCCCCCAAGTTGGTGGTATTAGAATATGGGGCCTTTAGGATGTGATTAGGTCTTGAGGGTGGAGCCCTCATGAATGGTATTAGTGCCCTTATAAAAGGGACCCCAGAGAGCTCTCTTGTACCTTCCACCATGTGAGGACACAGAGAGAAGGTGGCCAGTTATAAACCAGGAAGTGAATTCCTACCAGATCACTGATGCTGGTTTCATCTCTATCTTGGACTTCCAGCCTCCAGAACTGTGAGAAGTAAATGTTTATTGTTAAAAGCCCCAGTTTATGGCATGTTGTTATAGCAGCCCAAATGGACTAAGATAGAGTGTGAGATGGTGTTCAAATGCGTGTAAACTACAGTGTGCTGATAAACCAGCTGGGGCAAGGGGACCTGATTTGTAGTGTTGGCCAATTTCCATGGTGTAACTCCTCCCATCGTGGCTGATTTCAAGCTGTGAAAGTGATGTCACTGAGCCCTGAGTAGGAGCAGATATGCATAATTGGTTCTTGTGAGCCACTTTGATCTGGCTCAAGTACACCACTGGGTGCCTGGCCTGAAGTTGGCTCTTCCAGTTTTGACTCAGGTTAAAGGGAGGGGAAGAAGGAAGATAGAGCAAACTTCCTGCTTTCCTTCCATTCCAGGGCTGTTGCACTCGCTGTTCCCTCTGCCTGTCATGCTCTTCCCCCAGATAATAACTGAGTCTTTCTCACCCATTCTGAGTGGATTCCATTCGACCCTCCTGTGGACCTTGCTCCCTAAGCTTCCAGCACTCCATGAGCCCCCTGCAGTGGCCATCCAGGCAGGTATCATTATTGTCATATCTCCATTTTATGAATGGGGACACTGAGGCCTGGGGAGGTGAAGCACTTTCCTGAAGGCACAGAGCCAGAGAGCATGGGACTGGCTGCTGGATCTGTTTGCTTCACCAATGGGCTTTACTTCCACCCACCTTGATTCTTCTTCCCAGTATACTGTGGGTCCTTTTAACTGCTTTGTAAAAAGGTGTGCCATCTGAGCGTGGCTGAATTGACTAATTGCCCCCCTCTGAGCCTCAGTTTCCCCTTCTGCAAAATGGGCACAGAATAGCCCCTACCCCTGACATGGTGTTGTGTGCCTTTGTAGAGGAAATAACTGGCTCATTGACCTCTACAGCAGGGCTTCTGGAATACAGTAGTACCTCAAATAACATCATTTCAATCAACATCATTTCAATATAACATTGATGAGAGGCCATATGAACTAAACTCTTGTTTATATCAATTAGTCTATGGTAAAATTGGTTTTGTTATATGTTGTTTCGTCAAAGTTCCAAGAACCTATTAGTGATGTTAAGTGAGGACTTACTGTACTTCCATTTGAGGCTGGGTCATTTTTTGTGTGACAGGGTCCTGTCCTGTGCATTGTAGAATGTTTAGCAGCATCACTAGCCTCCTCCCACGAGATGTTGGTAGCAACCCAAGTTGTGACAACCAAAAATGTCTCCAGAATCGCCCATTGAGAAACACTGCTCTAGGTCA